TAACTAGAGTTGCATCAAAAATAATTTATGTTCATTTTTTATGATAGCCACACTTTATCCTTGCATATCGTGGCTATTTCCTTAACAAAAACACTAAAAAAAAAAAGAATTAAAAAAATGTTGACTCGACTGGGATTTTAACTCTAGACCTCTCACACACCAAACGAGCACGTTACCCCCTGCACCACGGAGAAGTTTTAAAATCAAAAGCTGAATAAAATCAAGTCATTCTAAATTTAGAATTTCCATTGCATTTCGGGTTAGGGTAATTTCGAGGTTTTTTGTTCAAGGTAAACCTGTTGTTTAAAATTGAAGTAAATAATTTAGCGAAAATCTTCTCGCCCAAACAGTCCGACATGTAGAATCTATATATTCCACTACTCGGCAGTCAGATTTATTTGTGTAGTATTCGGTAATCGACATCGCTAAAAATAGCATTTTCATTGATTAAAATCATATTCATCTGCGTAATTTGTGATTGTGTATTTATTGACAATTATATAGGCCAACGCTACTTTTTAACGTTGAATGCGTTGTAATTTGTTGGATACTTGTAACAAAATAAAAAATATTTCTTTCTTTTAAATCGCTAGTTTTAAGCTGTTTTCAGAACTACTTGTTGTTAGGTCTGTCGTGAAATTCTGTGTCAGAGATTGAATGTCCGCTTTGTATTTTACTGATCTTCGATCAGAAAATACAAAAATGACTCTTATTTCACTTTAAACGGTCTTTATTTTGGGTATGTGATAAATAGAATATTAAATTCGTGTAAAGTCCTTACTGAATTTATTGCACTCGTTGAATAATATAATATTAGGCTCGTTAGATGCTCGCATAATATAATTTTATTCAACTCGTGCAATAAATTTAGTATTGAACTTACACTCATTCAATATCCTCTATTTTCAAATGTTTTTTTTCCTTAGCTACTAACGATTCAAATAAGATCGAGAATGGGAAATCTTGAATTCAAAAGTACACATGGGTGGCATGTAAAAATCGAAAACGCACCACTAGGAAAACAGTCGTTGAATATTATAATTATCTGGCCTGTTAGTGTATTTTGGTAAAGGTTCTTGTTTTGTAAAGTTTTTGAAGTTCAAGTCCCATAAGGGATAATACTTTTATTTGGCCGTTTTAGCTCACCAGAGCCGAAGGCACAGGGTGAGCTATTAATATTAAAGGGGGATGCTCCGGCGTCTGTCGTAAGTCGTCATGCGTCGACAATCGTCTTCTTCTCTGAAACTGCAAAGCAGATTTACTTCAAATTTGGTTTGTAGCATCCTTGTGACAGTCACATTTGAATTTGCTCATGTCATTCCAATTGGCCCTTTTAGGGGTAAGCAGAGCTAGAAATAGAAAAAAAATCCTTTAGATGCCCACCAAACTTTGTCTGTAGCATTCTTAGGTAGTCTTTTATCAAGTTTGCTCATATTATTTTGATTGGCCCTTTTTAGGGGTATCTAGGGCTAAAAATAGAAAAAACCTTTAAACATGTTCTTGTACAGAGTTAATTGTTGGATGATCACCAAACTTTGTCAGTAGCATTCTCGGGTAGTGTTTTATCAAGTTTGCTCATATTAATTTGATTATCCCCTTTAAGGGGGCACTAAAGCTAAAAATAGAAATACCGTTAAATGTCTATTTCTAGAGAACTAATTGATGGATGATCACCAAAATTTGTCTGTAGCATTCTTTGGTAGTCTTTTATCAAATTTGCTTATATTATTTTGATTCGCCCCTTTTAGGAGCCGCAAAAGCTTAAAATAGAAATACCTTTCAATGTCTATTCCTACAGAAGTAATTGATGGATGATCACCAAACTTTGTCTGTACCATTTTTGGGTAGTCTTTTATCAAATTTGCTCACATTAATTTGATTGGCCTCTTTTAGGGGTCTCTATATCTAAAAATAGAAAAAAACCTTTAGATATCTTCTTCTACAGAACTAACTGATGGATGATCACCACACTTTGTCTGTAGCATTCTTGGGTAGTCTTTTATCAAGTTTGCTCATATGAATTTGATTAGCCCCTTTTAACGGCCGCTTAAGCTAAAAATAAAAATACCTTTAAATGTCTATTTCTACAGAACTAATTGATGGATGATCACCAAACTTTGTCTGTAGCATTCTTGGGTAGTCTTTTATCAAGTTCGCTCATATTATTTTGAATGGTCCCTTTTAGGGGCAGCTAAAATTAAAAAATAGAAATACTTCCAAACGTCTATTGCTACAGAACTTATTAATGGATGATCACCAAACTTTGTCTGTAGCATTGTTGGGTAGTCTTTTATCAAGTTTGCCCATAATAATTTGATTAGCCCCTTTTAGGGGTCGCTTAAGCTTAAAATAGAAAAAAACCTTAAAACATCTTCTACTACAAAACCAATTGATAGATGATCACCAAACTTTGTCTGTAGCATTTTAGGGTAATCTTTTATCGAGTTTGCTCATATTTATTTTATTTGTCCCTTTTCGGGGCCGCTAAAACTAAAAATAGAAAAACCTTTAAACATCTTCTACTTCAGAACCAATTGATGGATGATCACCAAACTTTGTTTGTAGCATTCTTGGGTAGTCTTTTATTAATTTTGCTCATATGAATTTGATTGGCCCCTTTTAGGGGCCGCTAAAGCTAAAAATAAAAAAACAACCTTTAAACATCATTTCCTACTGAAATAATGCATAGATGATCACCAAACTTTGTAGCATTCTTAGGTTTTGTTTGTTTGTTTGTTTTGGGTTTTACGTCACATCGACACAGTATAGGTCATATCGCGACGTTCCAGCTTTACTGGTGGAGGAAGACCTCAGGTGCCCTTCCGTGCATTATTTCAGGCACGAACGGGCACCTGAGTAGAACCACCGACGTTCCGTAAGCTAGCTGGATAGCTTCCTCACATGTAGCATTCTTAGGTAGTCTTTTATCAAGTTTGCTCATATTAATTTGATTAGCCCCGTTTACGCTATACTTAAATGCCACAGGTCTTGGCATCTATTCAAATTATTGTTTAATTATATTCTATGCTCAAATTTAATATTAGAAAATATTGACATTCCAACACTGAAAAGCAGTTGTTTCTGGTGAGCGACCCTAGGCCATCATGGCTCTCTTGTTATTTTATAATTATTCTCGTTTTCCTTTTATTTTATCTATTTATCTTTTTTATTATTTTTATATATATTTGTCCATGTATTTTATTTACGAGAATGCTATTACATATATGATAAGTTACAATGAAATTCAATATAGCAATTATTGAAAACAATGTCTTCAACCTCTGTTGATGGCGCTGGCGAGTTCGTCTCCGGTGCCAAACGAGTTCCTCAATAAGTGATTATTACTGAGAAATGAATGGCAAGATTTTCACCAAGTAGTTTAATCAAAGCTTAAGCACACGGTATCGTGATTTGCGAACGAAATCAAGTACAAAAAGTTTGATATAACATCCTACAGCGCCAAAGCATACCCTTCAACCAAACATTCTCAGGACTCGAGTGCTAGCAATAACATAGATGATTTTCGATGTGTCTATTGTGTCATGTGTAGCACAAAATCTTAACTGAAATGTTCGAAACATGAGATGTGTATTTTATGTGCATGACATCGTACGAATTATGCGTGCATTGAAAAAAAAGACATTATGTAAAGGAATGATTGAAAGACAAGCGCGCTACCACTTCAATACAACGTCTAAGTTATACTTTCCATACCTTTTCCAGAGTGCACTGATCCATGTTATATTTTCAACGGTTCGGAGATAAATAGGACAATAAGTAATAGAAAGAGCATCGAAACGCGAGGCTATCTGATTTGTATTAATCAGATTGCCGAGTGTTTTGATGCTCTTTCTCTTTTGTATCATAGTCAAGCATAAAAACACGTTCCCTGTTGTCACAATATGAAACACCGGCAAAAAGGAACCAATGAACGAACATCTGAATATGATATTTCTGTCGCTTTCACTCAGTCTGCCGTCACAATATGTAAACCCTAGCAAAAATGAGCCAATCAATGGACATGCTCTGGAGTGCGGGCAACTAATACCTGCACTCCAGTTAACGCACTGTGCATGTATAGAGGATATTGAATGAGTGTAAATTCAATACTGAATTTATTGCACGAGTTGAATAAAATTATATTATGCGAGCCTCTGGCGAGCATAATATTATTTTATTCAACGAGTGCAATAAATTCAGTAATGAACTTACACGAATTTAATATTCTATTTATCACATACACAAAAGAAAGACCGTTTAAAGTGAAATAAGAGTCATTTTTCATTGACGCGTCTATAGTATAACGCTAACATTTAGCGCGTCTTTACACTGTTTGTATAACGCTAATGACGTCACGTCAAAATATATGCACGGCCGTGCAATACCATATTTACGGAGTCGCAAAATCGGCACGGGTGTGTGATAAATATGTATACGATTTAACTTTGACACATTTTCAACAGAAAGGTCCCCAAACTATGATACAAATAGTTATTATGTCATTGTTGTGCAAGCTACTTGCATCGAAAACTTTGAATAACATATGCAAGTTAACCAGTTTTACCTCCGTCGAGTTGCCTTTTTAAAGATACCTCTTGTTTATTTGAGCCGTGTCATGACAAAACCAACATAGTGGCATTGCGACCAGCATAGATCAAGACCAGCCTGCGCATCCGTGCTGTTCGCTTACAAGCCCTATTACAAGTAGAGAAACTGATAGCGATCAGCATGGATCCTGATCAGACTGCGCGGATGCGCAGGCTGGTCTGGATCCATACTGGTCGCAAACCCACTATGTTGGTTTGTCATGACGCGGCTCATTTTGTTTTTGTTTGCATTTGAACGTAAGATTAAGTGTTTTGCTCAAATTGTAACGACACTTTAGTATTTCAGTACTTGTGAAGATTTGTTTTATTGCATAGCGAAACCACCATACAGGCACATGCATGCATGCGTGCTTGGGTGTTAAAAATGGTTCTTGGAGTGGCCATTATACTGCTGAATAAATTATTGTCATGCCACTGACATACGGTAATTCTTCTGAGCTATTATATCATCTTGTAAGACTTAATTTATGATCAAATGAATTTTATAGAAAACAACTATTTGTTTTATTAATATTAACATTGTCTTGTTGGTGATTTATTTTCTAGTTGACTGATATGTTTGCTTTTCCTTTTTCAGACATGAAGTACTGGATAATATTAGCGGGCTGTTTGGGTAAGAAGAAATATGGGAATATATAATATTTTGTTCTAGTTATTGTGCTATTTGTAAGAGAAGCTAAGTTTATTTTATATTTGTAGGTATTTGTTTCTATATTATATTCTGTATTTACTTCTGTGACTCATATTGACATTTTGATAGTTTGTAGTAGTTTTGTTACCATACTTTTCTTATGTAATGTAAATATGTCATATCCACCGATGAAAATGTACTCGCAATAAAATATTTGACTTGACTTTGACTTTGTTAAAAAAAATGTCGCAAGAGTACACAAATTCTTTCACAATGACTTCGCACTCTCACCTTATATTTTATATATATATTTAAGCTTTGATACATGTCACAAAGTCTTCTGGTGTATGCAGTGAGGACACTATTAAACAGTCGTGGCAAAAATGTGACAATACATATTTTGTGTCAGACGTTAAAGACATGGCGTCGATGAAGAAAATGTGCAGCAAGTAAGTAGGTTTAGTAAAAACATAACAGATAAAATGAAATAAAATAGTTCGGCAATACGTGAGTTCCGATCGCATATTTAGAAGACATATTTGTAAGAACTGTATTTTGAAATTATTTTATTTTCAAAAGTACTGTAGTCTAAATCGTTAAAAAATATTATTTTGGTAGATCATTATATTGAGTATGACATGCTCAGTTACTTCAAACATATGTTTATCCAAAGAAACCTAAAATATACTCGGTATCATTTGGAATAGATTTAACAAATTGTCTTAAAGACACTTTAACATATAGTGCAAAACATTTTGATTTTCTCATGACTATGGCATTTTGAGAAACACGAAATTTTCAATGTCAACCATATAGGAAGCGTACGTATGAGTTTCTTGTGTAATTATGTAAAGTTATAAAACCGACAAAGGATACTGAAGCCGTTTAACAAACCCGTTGATTTTAAGATACACAATTTCCCATGAACGCTATATATTTCTATTTTCTCACTTTCATTAATAGAGATTGAGATAATGTTTTTTAGAAAATTTAGCACCCGTTCAGCACAGTTCTCTACCTGTCGTTCAGCAAAACCCTAAAATATTAGATTACATCTTCTGGTGTCTAGTAACCGCCTCCGTGGTCGAGGGGTTAGAGTCGATGACTTCTAATCCAGTTACCTCTCTGGCGTGGGTTCGATCCCCGGGAGATGCTTTGGTAGTTTCGCGCAGAGGAAGGTAGTCTAGTACTGGTGTAACTCTCCAGGAACGATGGTTAGGAAACTACCCGCCTATATGACTGAAATACTGTTGAGAAAAGGCGTAAACTGAAGCAAACAAACAAACATCTGGTGTCTAGCCTTAACAAGCATGAAGAGGCAATGTTTTGGCGTTTAAAACAACAAGGACGACTTTAATAAGTTTTTATTCACAGTTATCGGAGAATGCCGAGTATTTGTAAAACCTCCATTAATTTCTAATCCTCGACATTTTCTTCAAAGTTCGGTAGTCGGCGATATGTTTGGAATACCAGACTCTATTGAAAGCGTAAACAACATTTGTCCTATTCGTTTGGCTTCTGGGTATTGTAAAATAACATTAAATGAAAAGTCGTTAATATATATGACGGACGATTCGTATCGATTTACAAACAACTGTTCCTTCAGTTACATGTATAAACATGGCGGAATGGCATTTTACATTTTAAGCCCTACAGTAACCGGCAAAAAAGTTTATTTTGCAACGTAATATACAAGTTTGCTTCTTTAAAAAGAAGCATGCAGTGGTCTTTTTACAGCGGTGGGCGATTTGTTTAATTCGAAAGTATTTGGATGTTTTTTGTATGTATAAAAGCACAATGAGTGTTTATAAATTACAATTAATTACAAAAATCGAATTATTATAATTATTGAATGTTGTTTCACAATGAAAGTATGTTTTACACGTTTTATTGTTTTAAACGTTTTTTTAATGTTTTAAAAGTTTATATGCCGGAGAAATGAACATTTTCTTGATACATAAATTAAAGTGTGGGTTACATCATACTTTATACAAAATCATACTTTAAGTTAAGTGTTATTTTCAGAACAGAATCTTTATAGTTTGTGTACGAATCTTTAAGCGTATAGAAATACTTTCGAGTCCGTTACTGGAACGAACCAACTGAGCTACGAGTGTAAAGTTTCTGGCTCAAGAAAACAATCACCCATTGATTTTTTGATTTTATAAAGTCAAGTTAATACAACTTTTTAGATACTGATATATCGAAGTTCTTCTTTTCAGTGTTGAATGTTTGGTTCAGTGTAAGAAAAATGCAGTTGGAGATTGTGCAAGCCAGGAAGAATTTCGTGAACATTTGTTTATGTTTGATCCAGAGAAATGGAAGGTTTATTATAGATTTACATGCTCCAATCTTGACGGTATGTTAAAATCTTCAAATTTTCAAAATTTTGTTAATGTAGACAACTCATTATGGGCACTATAAGAAATTGCAAAATTGACAACATAGAACAATTATATGCTTTTAAGGTCACCTGTACGCAAAATTTAAAATGAAATTTACCTTGTGGTTTTGGGGCGTGGACGGTAACTTGCACTTTCCAGTACCGTCCATGAACAAACTCAATCAAATTTACAATTTTGTCGTTTTGTACTTTCTTTAGGGATACTTTATTCCTCTCTATTTTAACCCAGTTTCTTTCTTCCCAATATGAAAGGACTGTCTACTATATCTAATGCAACTGTTAATTGTCTTAGTGACGATACTGTTTGATGTTTAGCTAAATTATACCTGTTACTGTATGCTGATGATACCATTTTATTAGCTGAAAACAAATCAGATCTACATAATGTTTTGATGTCATGTATGGTTATTGTAAGGTATGGGATCTGAATGTAAATGAAGATAAGACGAAAATAGTTGTTTTTAATTCATGTAAGTATAGAAACCAGTACTTTAACTTTACTTACAATGGTAAACAGCTGGAGACTGTAGAAAATTTCACATGTTTAGGTGTACTATTAAATTTCAATGACAAATTTGGTAAAACCAAGGAAAAAACATGTTGGCCAGGCTAGAAAAGCTATGTTTTCTGTCATTAAAAAAGCTAGAAAGTTGTATAGTTGTATTTGCCCATATCTATTCAATTACATTTGTTTATTACTATGGTTGTACCTATTTATATTATATGGTTGTGAGGTTTTACGGTATAGAAAATGTACAAATTCTTCTTGAACGACAACAATTACGTTTTTGTAAATTCATACTTAATTTGAAAAGATTTACACCCAATTGTATTATATATGGTGAAACTGGACTTTAGAAATTGCAGGTTAAAAACAAGAATATTGTATTACTGGAGTAAGTTAATTACCTCAAAAAATGATAAAATATGTAAAAATTGTATAATACAGTTTCATTCTTTACATTTAATAATGTTATGATCTCTCCTTGGATCTCATTTGTTAAAAATACTCTTTGATGAGCTAGGGTTATCAAACTAAAATTTTTATAGTCAATATGTTGATCATTTTGGAATACTTTTAAAGCTATCGTGAAACATAGATTAAAAGGCTAGTTATAACAGATCTTGAATGGAACCATAAATGAATCTCCTAAAATGTCTAATTTATCGTTTTGTTTTTAGAAAGATTTTTGTTTCGGAAATATTTCGAATATTTTTCAATCTTTGTAAAAAATAACTTTGTAAGTTCCAAATATGAACCACCAAACTATAAAAAAGGAAACATTTACATATTGAATGAAACCAAAAGTTATTCTTTATGTCAAAAAACTTTTGGATGAATGACAAAATTTCTTATTTAATTTTAAATTTTTTTAAATTTTTCGTAAAAAGTTTTTTGATTCAAAAGAATTAGAAAATTTTTTTAAAGAATAGCTTTGATCATTCAATTTTTAAAATTTGCAAATTTTTCAAAATTATTATTTTAAAAATTCATTTTTTTCAAATTTTTTTTCTCAATTCTGTATGAGTGTTTAACATAAAATAATATAGATAGCATTTTAAATTTTAAATTGACAAATCGGTCCCAAAAAAATTAAAAAGAAATACATTGTACCTATATGCGTTAGATGTGTTTGTCAAATTGTTCTCATTGTTATATAATTTTATGTGTATATACTTAAAATAACTGTTCATTGTATTGTTAATCTATCATAACCTTATGTATATTTTATGCCCTTGTTTTGAATAAAGCAGCTGACCTCCAGAAGATAGCAGAAAAACTGCCGTCTTGCTAATATTTCAAAATCCCTCCTCAAAACATTATATAGTTGAAAGAAATCGAAATGACGCTTCAAAATGTTCATATTTTAACTTTATTGCTCTGAAAACAAACAGTTCGCCTTTCCACCAACGAGAAAACCTTCTTTTATTACACCACAGAATTCTTTCATCCGGGTTTTTTTTTTTTCTAGTATCACGTGATCGTACAGGACAATATCGCTACCTGTGCCTCGGAACGCACGGAATCAGGGATTTTATCAAACATATAGGGATACGAATAACTGCTTTTGTTTTTATATTTGTAGTAATTCATGGCACTAAAATTTATAATTGATTGATTATTTCATATATATGATGACCAATTTTTCGATTTATCCTTTAGATTTAAATGTGATATGGGCCTACTTAATAACGAAAATTGATGACCGATCCCGGGCATAACGGATACCGGGATTTTTCCGGATCACTGTTGTGACACGTGACCGCGTTAAAGTGAATTATCTTCTATTAATATTGGCTACTACGTTAGTAACGTAGTAGGTTATGGAAAAGAAAACCCGATAATTAACGCTTTTGTCAACAATCTCTCTTGAATTAAGGTGTCAGTCCTTAATGATGGATTTATACAATAAACCTAACTAGATCAGTAGGCCTATTTACCATTTACTTGAAATATTATTTCATTTTTTTCAGTTTACCATCTGGAGGTCAGTGGCTTTAATAAATCTTAATCATTTTATGAAGGAATATTGCTCTTGTAAACACATATCATATTTTTACTTCGTTATCGTTTATAGATGTTATGCAACAATTTAATGGTGGTTGTTCACAGAATGACATATGCTCAGGGAAAAACATTACAAACTTCAATACATCTGAGAGAGATTTGAAAATTTTGTGCAGGTAAACACCTTCAGACAACATACGAGTATATACACACCGAGGCACTTATAACTGACACTTACATTTTTCGGTATAAATTTGTTATTTGTGAACGGATTTTGTTCAGCTTTTGAACATACACAATTCAACATATTATACTTACTTTCTTAGAATATTTTTTACAATTCATTGACAAGAAAATAGAGAAAATAACAGAACAATAATGCTATTGCAAAATGAAAAAAAATCACAGAATGCTGTAAAAATCGTAACAAAATGAAGTCTCTGAATCCCACTAAATATGTATGATACTTTGTGTGTCCTCCCATTGCTATAACACAGTGTAAACACCTGTCTTATTGAAATGACGTAGTATCTCATGAAGACTTGGGGATTATTTCTCCATTCCTGAATAAGGGCTTCTTCTAGTTCTAGTAACTCCGGCATCCTCAGTCACCAGATTTAAACATCATTACTTGTCGGTTGAATTGAACAGACATAAGAGAAAGCGACCTGAAGCCCCTTGCAATTTGCTGGAACTCGCGCAAGCCCTTGTTTAGGAATGAAGAACTGTGAGGCAGAGGTGTTTACGTTGTTATAGCCAATTGCGAGGAAAACAAAGTGTTATAACTGGTTAACATATACAGATTAAGTGGGTTTTAGAGACTGTTTATTTTGTTTACGATTTTTACAGTCATTCTGTGATTTTTCATTTTACAGTAGCGTATTTGTTTTGTTATTTTTTCTATTTTCTTATCGATTAATTGTAAATATAATTATAATTAGTAGGTATGATATGTTGAATTTTGTATGGTCCAAATTTGAACAAAATCTGTTGAAGAATAACCTATTTATACAGAAAAATGCAAGTGTCGGGTTATAAGTGCCTCTGAATGTATTTAAGCGTATCGTGATGAAAGCTTAGGTCAATGTCACTGCGGTGGTTCAAACTTTGTCATTTTTTATGTTATATAAATATAGAAGGTGGTGGTCGTGTACGCTCTGAAACTTCAGTATGCATGGAAGGATTTTAATTTTTCTTTCATATATGAAATAACCATAGATGTATGGTGTGTCGCGAACAAGAATCAGGTTTCTACGACTAAGGTCAAGGTCACTGTGGGGGTTCAAACTTTGTCATTTTTAATGTTATATAAATATAGAAGGTGATGGTTGTGTCCGTTTCTGAAACTTCAGTATACATGGAAGGATTGTATTTTTTTCACATATGAAATAACCATAGATGTAAGGAGTGTCGCGTACAAGACTTAGATTTCTACCACTTAGGTCAAGGTCAATGCGGGGTTCAAACTTTGTCATTTTTTATGTTATATAAATATAGAAGATGGTTGTCGTGTCTGCTCTGAATTTTAAGTATGCATGGAAGGATTTTTTTTTCTCTCATATATGAAATAACCATAAATGTATGGTGTGTCGGGAACAAAACTCAGGTTTCTACCACTAAGGCCAAGGTCACTATGGGGGTTCAAACTTTGTCATTTTTAATGTTATATAAACATAGAAGGTGGTGGTCGTGTCCGCTCTGAAACTTCAGTATTCATGGAAGGATTGTTAGTTTTTTTCACATATGAAATATCCATAGGTTTATGGTGTGTCGCGAACAAGACTCGGGTTTCTATGAGTTAAGTCAAGGTCACTGTGGGGGTTCAAACTTTGTCATTTTTTATGTGATAAAAATATAGAAGGTGGTGATCGTGTCCACTCAGAAACTTCAGTATTCATGAAAGGATTGTATTTTTTCTTCCACATATGAATTTACCATAGATGTATAGTGTGTCGCGAACAAGACTAGGTTTTCTACAACTAAGGTCAAGGTGTCTGCGGGGGTTCAAACTTTGTCATTTGTTATGTTATATGAATATAGAAGGCGGTGGTCGTGTCCGCTCTGAAACTTCAGTATGCATGAAGGGGTTTTAATTTTTCTTTCATATATGAAATAACCATAGATGTATGATGTGTCGTGAACAGGACTCTTCTGTGACTTAGTTCAAGGTCACTGTGGGGGCTCAAACTTTGTCAACTTTGATGTTAAGAGATGGTGGTGTCTCTGAAACTAATATGCATGAAAGGATTATATTTTTTATTTCACATATGAAATTATCATAAATGTATGTGTTGCCCTTAAGGCCCGTATTCCTACACCTTAGTTTAAGGTCACTGCTGAGGTTTAAACTTTTTCAATGTTTATGTTATATACAGTGTCCGCTCTGTAGCTTCCATATACATGAAAGTTTCAATTTTTATTAAAAAATATCAAGTCGCATTAGATGGACAATGTGTTGTGAACAAGACACAGGTTTCCTTGTCTCACTTAAAGGTCACTGCTAGTTTTCGAACTTTGTCAATTTTTACCACCACACTTGACATGTAATAGGTGGTTTATTACTAGAATCATTCGGGGGCCCTTGTCACTTTCTGTGACAGCTCTTGTTTTTATTTAAGTCTTATCAGATTCCTTAAACACGAACGCAAGTTTTATTTGTTGGAACACACATGCCATTTTATTTGTGTCGCAAACACATTGTCTGTCATTTTGTATACCAAAACATTCCGACTTTCATTTGATGCTTTGAGTCAAAATGTTTTTCTTGAAAATATTTGAGCTGCGCCATGACAAAACCAACATAATGGGTTTGCGACCAGCATGGATCCAGACCAACCTGCGCATCTGCGCAGTCTGATCAGGATCCATGCTGGTCGCAAACCCATTATGTTGATTTTGTCATGACGCGGCTCATTTGTTGTAGCTCTTTGGAAGCCACGCGTAAATGTGTCAGTAATTAAACTTTTTCAAAGTTTATGTTATATACAGTGTCCGCTCTGTAGCTTCCATATACATGAAAGTTTCAATTTTTATTAAAAAATATCAAGTCGCATTAGATGGACAATGTGTTGTGAACAAGACACAGGTTTCCTTGTCTCACTTAAAGGTCACTGCTAGTTTTCGAATTTTGTCAATTTTTACCAACACACTTGACATGTAATAGGTGGTTTTTAACTAAAATCCTTCGGGTCGGGGGCATTTGTCACGTTCTGTGACAGCTCTTGTTTTTTTTAAGTCTTATCAGATTCCCTAAACACGAACATATGCCAATCTTGTTTTTGTCGCAAACACCTCGCTGTCATTTTGTAAACCAAAACATTCCGACTTTTGTTTGATGCTTTGAGTCAAAATGTTTTCTTGGAAATATTTGAGCCGCGCCATGACAAAACCAACATAATGGGTTTGCGACCAGCATGGATCCAGACCAGCCTGCGCATCCGCGCAGTCTGATCAGGATCCATGCTGGTCGCAAACGCACTATGTTGATTTTGTCATGACGCGGCTCATCTTTGTTGTAGCTCTTTGGAAGCCACGCGAAATTGTGTCAGTATGAGTCCAAGTTCAGACGGCAAAACCTGTACTGCAGATGGTGCACGATTTCAAGAAGATATCCGAAAACTTGGTTATTCAATTTCCATTTGTGAAAATACAGACATAAAGAAGTTATATACGAAGTACGGTGGACCTTACAAATGTGTATGTATACTTTTAGTATCGTCTACAATGACTCATCATTGTTTACTACTTCTGAAGTTCAACACCAATATTATATCAAATATAATATATAAGCAAATATTAATGTGTATAGATGATTCATTTCTTGAATCCATAAAGATAAGTATTAGATTTACAGGATATGACATGTTCTTCTGATAATATTAGTTTACAGAATTCCCACGATGATAAGAAACAGATATCACATGATGATTTGTTTCCAGAACAATTTTGGCTAATGTGTAAACATATCAGTGAGCTTGAGTAAAGAAGATCATGGGGACCGTTTGTGTAATGCTCAAAGAATACTAGATCAATCAGAATATGACTAGGCAGAGAAGTCAAAATAAATCTAGGGATTTCTTTGCTCGGATTTTTTCTCATAAAATATAATGACGGTCCGAATGCAAGTGTTACTGTTGTAGAATTGCACACATTATCTGTAATTGGTGTTGTACATCTGAAACCTTATCAAATCTGTTAAGGCCCTTTTATACAGTCTTTATAATTATTTTATTTTGTTTAACAGTTAACGAAAAACTGGTTAACTATCTAGATATAAGATCTAAATTGATAGTCTTAACAATTTCGAGAATCATAATTTACAATCATGCTGGTTTTATTAAACTTAAAAATGTGTTCAAGGACTGTAGAATCATACGGCAACTAAAAAAGACAGTTTTCATCTACACTACATTTAATGAAAAATAAATTTGATTGTAACATGTAATTAAAACTCAACAATGTTCGTCAAACTAGATACGAGTACATCTTTACTTTTATATTTTGACTAGTGTTTAAAAAATACACAACAATTTAAACGTTTAAATGTTTGTGTTTCAGGGAAGCAGCTCTGCGACAGGTAGAATTAAACTATCCTTCACTGCTTTCAGCCTAGCCATGCTTGCCTGGATCAAAACCCGCTTCTAAATGTGTTATCTTTCCAAGTTCGTTACAATATATGCAATGTTTTGTTTACATATTTAATAAATGTTTTCCTGATATTATGACACGTAGAAATTCATGTATATTTGTAATTTTCATTATACCCCCGCACAACAAAGTTGTAAGGGGGGGGGGGGGGTATACTGGAATCAGCTTGTCCGTCCGGCCGTCCGTCGGTTTTTTCTTGTCCGCCCAATAACTTAAGATATCTTTGACCCTTAGTCTTCATATTTGGCATGGAGGTTAGTCATGATTAGTAGATGACCCCTATTGATTTTGAGGTCACTAGGTCAAAGGTGAAGGTCACAGGGGCCTTGACTTCAAAAAGCTTGTCCGCCCAATAACTTAAGATTCCTTTGACCTACGGTCTTCATATTTGGCATGGAGGTTAGTCATGATTAGTAGATGACGCCTATTGATTTTGAGGTCACTAGGTCAAAGGTCAAGGTCACAGGGGCCTTGACTTCAAAAAGCTTGTCCGCCCAATAACTTAAGATTCCTTTGACCTACGGTCTTCATATTTGGCATGGAGGTTAGTCATGATTAGTAGATGACCCTTATTGATTTTGAGGTCACTAGGTCAAAGGTCAAGGTCACAGGGGCCTTGACTTCAAAAAGCTTGTCCGCCCAATAACTTAAGATTCCTTTGACCTACAGTCGTCATATTTACCATGGAGGTTAGTCATGATTAGTAGATGACCCCTATTGATTTTTAGGTCAATGGTCAAGGTCACAGGGGCCTTGACTTCAAAAAGCTTGTCCGCCCAATAACTTAAGATTCCTTTGACCCATAGTCTTCATATTTGGCATTGAGGTTAGTCATGATTAGTAGATGACCCGTATTGACTTTGAGGTCACAAGGTCAAAGGTCAAGGTCACAGGGGGCTTGACTTCAAAAAGCTTGTCCGCCAAATAACTTAAGATTCCTTTGACCCACAGTCTTCATATTTGGCATGGGGGTTAGTCATGATTAGTAGATGACCCCTATTGACTTTGAGGTCACCAGGTCAAAGGTCAAGGTCACAGTGGCCTTGACTTCAAAAAGCTTGTCTGCCATTCAACTTAAGATTCCTTTGACCCATAGTCTTCATATTTGGCATTGAGGTTAGTCATGATTAGTAGATGACCCCTATTGACTTTGAGGTCACCAGGTCAAAGTCACAGGGGGCTTGACTTCAAAAAGCTTGTCCGCCAAATAACTTAAGATTCCTTTGACCCACAGTCTTCATGTTTGGCATGGAGGTTAGTCATGATTAGTAGATGACCCCTATTGATTTTGAGGTCACCAGGTCAAAGGTCAAGGTCACAGGGACTTTGACTTCAAAAAGTTTTGTCTGCCCAATAACTTAAGATTCCTTTGACCCACAGTCTTCATATTTGGGATGGATGTTGATCATGATAAGTAGATGACCCCTTGTGATTTTGAGGTCACTGGATCAAAGGTCAAGGTCATAAGGACTTTGACTTCAAAAAGTTTGTCCACCCATTAACTTAAGATTCCTTTGACCCACAGTCTTTTATATTTGGCATGGATGTTTGATCATGACTATAAGGTGACCCCTATTGACTTTGAGGTCACTGGGTCAAAGGTCAAGGTCACAGGGACCTTGACAAAAAAAGAAGCTTTTCTTCTCAATTGCTAAAGAATGTCCTGTCCGCAATGTATTGATTTTGACATTTTCACATTTGAAGCTTGTAGAATACATAACTTAGCAATGCACTGGCTTAGTAACCTCAGATTTGGCAGGGAGGTTGTCCTTGAGCTCTAAATGGCCACTGTTGATTCTGACAAAGTGGTATGCGGGGGTATTCACGCCAAGATAGTGGCAGTTCTAGTTTTAAACAAAGTAGATTTTAATATGTATATACAGTTTCTGGTTTTTGGAACTACAACTCAACCGTGAAATAGCAATTCATTACTTTTTTAGCGACCATGTACTTCTGTATCAGCTGTTGGTTTGACTTTCTATTGCAACCATTGACTTAAACCTAATAAACAGATAAAAAAGTTTGCTTAAAAAACAATCGATAGTTTGGTTTTTCTGGGACGGCAAATCACATTCGAAAGCCATTACAACTATTTACCTCAAAAGTAATTTAAATTTACACGATTCTGCAGTACTTTTAATAATTTGTTCAATTTGCTTCGTTTGATTTTATTGTGCAACAAATATGTGAATGTATTGATGTAAAATTATCACAAGAATTGAATGCATAGCCTCTAAATATAAAGTGATACAACATCTAGTGAGTGAGGAAAAAGCGTGAAAGAGAAAAAATGAAGACGTGGATTGGTTTGTAAGAAATAATTATAGGTGCAAAGTCTCTAACACCCCAGCACAATCTGAATTAGTATTACATCCTCTCATGATCCTCAAACCTTATATAAGTCATGAAATGTCAACAAAAAAAGTATAAGAGACCAACTTACTATTTGAAAAAATTAAAGCTATAGAATTTCTTATTGGAATTTTGTCAGAGTTTTTTTGGTTTTTAAATTTACAAACCAACCGTGAAATAGCAACAAATTACTTTTCTTGGCAACCAGTAACTAATAATTATAACAACTGTTGATTTTACAATTAGTGACTTTCAGGGCAAGTTTTGACATTCCTTATCAACAAATGATTTCAGTAGTATCCATTATCTGTCCACAGCAATATTTCACCCAGATTTTGTATTTGTGACATTCTCTCGTGTGTAGTATTACGACTATTAAAATAGAGTGTGTGCACACTTTTAGACGCAGATTTGAATTTGATAGGAGTTGACCTAGATTGTGACCTAATACCAGTTATTAATATAAATTTTTCTCACTGAGAGTATCTGCAGTCAGATTAGCCACATATAAGAGCAATCATGGCCATCTTGTTGTATATCATTGTACTATATTATTGTTTTCATAACTTCCCATTTCACAACTCATCCCGCATTATCTCAGGAATTGTGAACATTGTTATCATTTAAAGAAATCGTATCTTAGAAATCTCTTACGCCCCCAACACCATTTAAGTCATGAAATATGTTAGAAGTGCCAGCAACAAACAAGGGTAAGTGGATTCCTTAAAGAGCACCCACATGGGAAATTATTACTGTTTCGAAAAGTGTACAAAATAAGACCAGTTGATACGACAAAAGATGGAATTTTAAAGCGAAAAAGCACTTTTTGTCTAGATTGGCATCGTTTGAGCCGTAACAAGACGATTTTGAACATAAATCGATCTTTTCTTTAATAACAAACCTAATGTCAGTGCATGCAAACAGTTGAAACAGAAAAAGGCAGCTACGAGTATAAGACTATCACTTTAAGGTCCAAATTTAATCCAAAAATGTCTGTAGGTAGGCTCTGTCAGTAATTATGCCTGCTTACCTCCAAAAGGGGA